ATATATATATATCGTACCTGTGATTTTAGGTGATAGATGTTAAGAACAAAAAATTGAATTAATTATAGACATTTCTAATTTTTAACGCTTGATTGGAAATAAAATGAATATATATTTTTCTTTCTTTTATTTTCTTCGACATAAAATTCTTTTTAGTATATTTAGATATATAAAAATATGATATATACAATATATTCTTTATTATGTATGATATTCTTTATGCATGCACACACATTAATCTGTTATTTTCTTTTAGGGAATTTTAGGGAATATACGGATACGATTCTATATTTTGATATGGATGAGCCTTTAGGTTCTTGTAAATATGGCGTCGATGACCCCGCCAATAGAAGAGTTAAAATTTTACGCGCACCGGATATGACGTTTGCGGCAAAAAGAAACGCGCTTCGTTTCCGGCGGAAAGCGTAAACTTTGTGAACGCTAGCAAGATCTGTCCTCTTGTAACGGTCGTGGCGGCAGGTTCACTCGACTCTCCGATCACGAGGAGAAAATCTGGAGGCATCGTCGAGCGTTGTGACGCTGAATACTCGATCGAGGTAAAAGAACATCCCTAACCTTCTTCCACTTCGATTTCTATCATTATTTTTCGATTTAACAATTTGTTTCGATCAGAGACGAACATAGTCGATTAGGCGAACGACATCATGTCGAATTCTTATACATATACGAAAGTGCATATGTGTTGTTGCAGTATGGACGCTCGGCGACTTCTATCGAGAGCGTAAGCCTCCGTTAATTCCGTCGATCGATCAACGAAGAAGAAAAAGCGCCGGTCAAGATGTATTTGTACAATTTGACTCTACAACGCGCCACCGGCATCACGCACGCGGTGCATGGCAATTTCTCCGGCAGCAAGATGCAGGAGATTCTTGTCTCCCGCGGCAAATCGTTGGAGTTGCTGCGACCGGATCCGAACACAGGAAAGGTTCACACTCTGCTGACTGTTGAAGTTTTCGGCATTATCAGATCTCTGATGGCATTTAGATTGACCGGTGCAACGAAAGATTATATTGTCGTGGGTTCGGATTCCGGGCGCATAGTAATTTTAGAATATATTCCCGCCAAGAATATGTTCGACAAAGTACATCAGGAGACCTTTGGCAAAAGTGGTTGTAGACGCATCGTACCTGGCCAGTATCTAGCCATTGATCCAAAAGGGAGAGCAGTTATGATAGGTATTGCATATATTTGTATCGTTTGTTATATTTTAACACTTTCAAATAATAACTATTGTTATTGTCTGTTACCATGTGATTACTTCTGTGTTTCATCTGATTAACGTTGATTACAACTTTTCATTTTTATGATGGCAATTCATTTGTCGATTACAATTATGTTATGTGTGAATTTGGTATTATATCTGTCGCTACTATTTTAGGTGCTATTGAAAAACAGAAGCTCGTATACATCCTCAACAGAGACGCCGAGGCCCGTTTGACGATTTCCTCTCCATTGGAAGCTCATAAAAGCAACACATTGGTATATCACACGGTCGGTGTCGATGTTGGTTTCGATAATCCCATGTTTGCGTGTCTAGAGATCGATTACGAGGTAAACTTGCATTGTTGACAGTTTGAAGCAATGAATATTCTTGTTGTAGCTGAATATCATGTGATTACGTTTTTATCCGTGTTTCAACTGATTAACATTGATTACACCTATTTATTATGATGATATTTATGCGATTACATTTACAGTGTGTAATGTTGCGCATGTTTGTAAAAGACATTCAACGTATTCTAATAAAAACGTTAATCTCTGACAGGAAGCCGACAGCGATCCCACGGGCGATGCGGCAGTGAAGACCCAGCAAACTCTGACACTGTACGAACTTGATCTCGGTCTAAATCACGTGGTGCGAAAGTACAGCGAGCCGCTGGAGGAGCACGCTAACTTCCTTGTATCCGTGCCGGGCGGCAATGACGGTCCGAGCGGTGTGCTAATCTGCTCCGAGAATTATCTCACCTACAAAAACCTCGGTGATCAGCACGATATTCGTTGCCCGATCCCGCGACGCCGCAACGACTTGGACGATCCCGAGAGAGGAATGATATTCGTGTGCTCGGCCACGCACAAGACGAAAAGCATGTTTTTTTTTCTGGCGCAGACGGAACAGGGAGACATTTTCAAAATCACACTCGAGACAGATGAGGACATGGTTACCGAAATCAAGCTCAAGTACTTCGATACGGTACCCGTCGCAGCGAGTATGTGTGTTCTCAAAACGGGTTTCCTGTTTGTCGCCTCGGAATTCGGCAACCAGTTAGTACCACAGACGCATATCATACGCGCATAAAAAGAATGATTGCGAACAACGCGATTACATTATTGTTTTTCAGTTACCTGTATCAAATAGCGCATTTGGGCGACGACGACGATGAGCCCGAATTCAGTTCAGCGATGCCGCTCGAGGAAGGCGACACCTTCTTCTTCGCACCACGGCCACTTCGTAATCTGGTACTAGTTGATGAAATGGATAGTCTTTCGCCCATAATGGCTTGCCAGGGGACGTAGTTATATTCTTATTAGATGCAAATTTTGGCTTAGCACTTTCAAGTAGGAGAGGGACGTCATCCATGCGTCTCTTTTCTGTGGGAACAGATGTGCGAGAGTATAATTCTCTTTGTCGCCTTTGGTTTGTTATTGCAAATTGAAGTGAATTCTTAGAGAGACATGTATACATTTACAATCGGGAATTTTCTCCTTCATATCACGTTTGGGAGAGAGTGCTATATGTGCACATGCTAACCTGTTTAAATGAAAATTTGTTATCTTTAATACACAGGTGGCAGATCTGGCAAACGAGGATACGCCACAATTGTACATTGCCTGCGGTCGAGGGCCGCGATCTACCCTGCGCGTGCTACGCCACGGTCTCGAGGTTTCTGAGATGGCCGTGAGTGAGTTGCCTGGTAATCCAAACGCCGTATGGACTGTGAAAAGGAGAATCGATGGTTAGTCGAAAGATATTTCTATCAATCGTTTGCATGTTCCCACTTGAATTGCTTACTTGACGATCGGCAAGTTTTAGCTGCGATCGTTTATTCTCAACACATATGTTTCTCGTCTGTTTATTTCTTCCAAAAACTCGCATATGTCATTTGCGAAGCAATATGAATCCGTCTAGGCAGTCAGAAGTTAAATGTATCGCAGACTTTTATTATCTTATTCTTCTTTTGCGAAAGAATGTGTGGATGAGAAAGCTCAATGGTAGTAAATTTGAGCAAAGCTTTGGGGTAAGAACATTTACTACTTAATATGACTTGGAAAAAAAAAATCGTAGTTTATTTAAAGAAAAGAAAAAAAATGGCATCGGTTTTGTAAAACGATATTAATGAACCTGGTGGCTTGATACACTCTTATCAAACACCAGTTCTCTCTTTCAGGATGCCAGCGCGCTATTGGTTGACCCACAGAAGTCTGAATGACCGAAAGGTAAGGATCTCGGCGCGAAATTGGCACGAATAAGAGTCGATTCGCTCGACAAAAAAAAAAAAAAAACAAAAAGAAATAATGAAAGCTCATCAACTCTTTCCGTGCCCCGTGACACGAGAACGTGCGCAGTTTCGAACGATCGAGGGAGAGGGCGAAATATTAATTACATTATATCTTCAAAAAGACAAATTCAAATATACAATTCAATTTGACGTTTTCGTTCGCGCATTTCCCTGTGTATTGAGAATGAGTCTTATAATTTTGATTGCAGAGGAATATGATGCATACATCATAGTGTCCTTCGTGAATGCCACACTTGTACTCAGTATTGGCGAGACTGTCGAGGAAGTGACGGATTCGGGTTTCCTCGGTACAACACCAACCTTGAGTTGTTCAGCGTTAGGCGAGGACGCATTGGTGCAGGTATTTTGCACATTGAAATTATATATCGCATTGTATTCTGCAGTTTTTATGTGAATTACGCATTCTACGAATCTAAAGTCTTGTCTGAATCGAAGAAATATTTTATTAAAGACACGCGATATTTCTAACATTGTTATATTACATATCTGACAAAAAATAATTACATTTTATAT